TTGCCTGTAAGTCTTAGCTCGACTGCCAGCTCTACAGCGGAGTCTTTCCTGATGGCCTGAGTGCAAGGCGCCTCCCTCTGAAGGTTTGAGCCCTTTATCAGAACTGCCTCTCTACGATGCCAATCTCTCTCCATATTGCCCCGCACTAGCCCCCATACAAAGCACCTCAGACCAGGCAGCTCAAATAATGGACGTTTATTTTCTCATACTTCTGGAAGCTGCCAAGTTTAGAGATCATGGGTATGGACAGAGTTGGTTTCTTATGTAGCCTGTCTCCTTGCTTTGCAGATGGCCACCTTCTCCTTCTATTTTCACATGGTCTTCCCTCTGTGACTGTCTATGTCCTAACTTCTCCTTCTTAAGGACACTAGTCATATTGGATTAGACCCATCCTAATGACTTCATTTTAACTTGAATCACTTCTTAAATATCCTGTCCCCAAATACAGTGTCATTCCAAGGTACTGGACATTATGACTTTAATATACAAATTTTGGACACAATTCAACTCATAATATGTCTTATCATTTGGCTTCTCTCTTACCAACTCAGAGTTCTTGGAAAAAGGGCCATGCTTTGGCATGTTTGTGCTCCAATCCTGCATTGCTCCTAATGAGTACTCCACAAATATCGATAAAAAAATAAATCAAATAAAATCAATAAATCGAAAAAAAAGTAAAATGAAAAGCAAAAAACAAAACAAAACAAAAACAAAAACAAAAAAAAAAGTTCAGGAAGGAAAAATGGACCTAAGGACCTTAAAGTATTACTTTTCACTTTCATCTAAAATGCAGTAAAGAAGGGTTCCAGGAACCAGCAGTTAGCGTAATGGCTATGTCGCTGGACTCCCACGTAGTCAACCACGGTTTGTGTCCCGGACCTGGTGGCTTAAAACTCAGGTCGGGCACGTGTGCGTGCCTGCCCAAGATCCCGAGAGGAGAATGGAGGAGAAGGGATTGCGGCGTGACTATCCCCCCGGGGGGTGATTTCTCGCTTTCTGTCTCTATGTCTCTCTCTGTCTGTCTGGCGAGCACACATGCCCTATAGTGAAAACCTCTCCAAAAAAAAAAAAAAAAAAAAGTAAAGAAGGGTTCCATGAAGAGGAGTCATAGTTGTCTCCCAAAGTTGGGGCCATTCTGAACAAAAGCCTTGCAATTCTGAATGCTCCTGAACATTCTCATGAAGAAAGGTCACTGGAAGAATCCCTGCTCAGAAGATAACTGACTTAGCCGTCCAGACTCCTAGGCCATCAGAGACCGCAAAGGAAGACAAACACAGAACTGAATAAATCAAATCCAGGGCCAGCTGTCTAGATAACTCACATCTTGTGATTGCACTCATTGGTCATTGACCAGTAGGAGGAAGCTGGTTGGTGCTCGAGGATATCTATTGGTCCTTAATCATTTGTTGTGCTTTCTCAAACTTATGACTACTAATGTCTTTAACTCTGTGTTCAAAGACTTTTTCTAGAACCATGGACAGTCAGAAATACTTTGGAATTAACACTCCCCCACCCCAAGCAGCCTTCACCAGTGCCTCTCCAGTCTTGACGTATAGATACCTCCCTCTCTCACTCCTTCTTGGGAAGCTGGTATGTTGCTCGGTTTCCTACAGTTCCTCTACATGATAAAGCACTGTCACACCCCTGTGGCAGGTGGTGTAATCCCATCTTCTTATAGGCTGTCCTCCTTTCCCCACTTCTCAGCCTGTTTTCTTTGTATCTCCTAAGTAAATTATTAGGTCATCAGAAAAGTCGTGACATATTTTCTATGTTTTTCTATGCAAAAATACATCTTGACTTTTCCAATGACCCAATATTTGCCCTTGAATCTTTGGGTTAGGGTTGTTTGGTGGGGGTAGGGCTGGGGATCCTACCTGACATAGCAACACTTAACAGACTAAATTCAATCAGAAAGATCCCTTCAAAGATGTCTAGTTTGTTTGGTATCTTTGCTTAAGTAAATCTCTTTTCTTTGAATAGCTGTGGAAAGCATGATTAGTTCCACATAGAGTAGGTTTCAGTTTATTCATGTGGGCTCAGTTCTGTATCCTCTATTTCACCCCACCCCAATGGTTTCTATCCATTTGCAAAAGCACATGGAGGCAGAGAGGAAATCAAGAACCAAGAATCCCCAGATTTACAGAAGCTCCAAATCTAATACCAAGCCATGTGCACAGGAACCATTCACCTGAGAATCGTGCCATGGGCAGCAGTAATTCAGTTCATACTTGCCAGGCTCCTCCTCAGCATCATCTTGGAGTCTTGAAACCTTGTCCTCTGAGTCCTGGCTCTGATGTATCATCCCCTATTTCTACCCGTTCCTTGGCGGAATAGGCTGCTAATGGCATGCTGTTTTTTAATATAAATAATAAAAATAACAGTCATTTTATTCTTCTGAGGGGTATAAGCCAACATGGGCAATCATGTCTGTGAGATATAAGTGGAGCCAGTTAAGAAGGAAAACGCTCTCCACAGTATCCAGGAAGGCTTTCTATACCAGGGAATACCCCGTTCATTATCTTTCACACCATCTTCCCTGCTGTTGAATAGGAAGGGCTTTCTTTTTCCTATTTTTTTTTTTTTTGGAGAGTTTTTTTTGCTGTAGGGTACGCGTGCTTGCCAGAAAGCCAGAGAGAGACTGAGAGACAGAAAGCGAGAAATCACCCCCCTAGGAGAGATGGCCATGCCGCAATCCCTTCTCCTCCATTCTCCTCTTGGGATCTTGGGCACGCATGCACATGCATCCAGCGTGAGTTTAAGCCACTGGGTCTGGGACTCGAACTGCAGTTAGCTACATGGGAGTTTAGCGACATAGCCATTACGCTAATTGCTGGTCCCAGGAAAGGCTTTCTTTATTGGCTTCCAAGTTTACCTTTTCTCTTGAGTCTCATTTTATTGCAAATTGAGAATATGATAGGCCATTTGCAAAAGGGTTCAAAGTATCCAAGCACCTTAAGAATTGGAAAGGAAAAAAAAAAAATGAATTGGAAAGGGTTGGGACCAGCAGATGGCGTAATGGTCACATCGTGAACTCCCACGTGGTTGAGAGGGTTCGAATTCCAGACCCTGTGGCTTCAAACTCACTCTGGGTGCATGTTTGTGTGTGCCCAAAATCCTGAGAGGAGACTGGAGAAAGATTGCAGTATAGCCATCTCCTGTGCGGGGGTAGTGGTTTCTCGCTTTCTGTCTCTCTGTCTCTTTCTGTCTCTTGAGCAAGCACACGAGCCCTACAGAAAAAATCTTTAAAAAAAACAGAATTGGAAAGGGTCAATTCAGCATCTCTGTGTCCCCTAGCAATGGGTTGATTCATGTTACAATAATGCCTTAATGGTGAAGCTCATTAAAAACTCCCAGGTGCTTCCAACATACTTCTTCCTCTTCCTCCTCCTCCTCCTCACTTTTTTCTTCCTGGGCTAGCTGGTCCCTCCTTGACCACATAGCAGATGGCTGATTTTTGTTTTTTTAAGTCTGCCTACAGATTTGGAGATCGAGATTCATCTCCTACTGACTCTACATCAACAAACATCCAAATACATGGTGGATCAAAGTGCTCGGATATGATGAGAGATGCCAATGAAATAGTCCAGAGACCTTGAGAGATCAATAATCTTCTTATCTCAGAATAGCCCTAATTAGCAAACCATACCCCCCTTGCTTTTTAAAACCCAATAAAAGCTCCTGACCCCTTCCTTTAGGGCCAATGTAACTCTCAGCATCAGGCCCTTTTCCACCTTTGGGAAACTGGATAAATTCTTTTCTATCCTTTGTCTCTCTTGAGTTCGTGAATTCTTTCACAGCCCACACCCAACCACCCTAACAATTTGTAACCACAGTATCTGAAGAAACTACTTAACTAGGCAGTTTACGATCCTCCCCACACTGGGAACACTAGCATTCAGATTTGTTGTGCTGGACATAAAGAACATCCAACCTGTACATCTGCTTTCTGATAAGCTCCTTCATACCAGGAAAGGAGAGAACAAAATGCCTTACCTTGCAGGACCAAACACCTGGCAAACAGATTTAACTATTATTTATTATCCTACACTCAATGCAACAAACATTTGTCTGTTTGCTTCACAAGTAACCTACACTCATTACAAACCAAAATCAAGAGCATTCTTCTGTTTAAGTAGTCTGACAAAGCAAATGGAGGAATGAATTAGCAACACTTTGGGTGTTAGGTAGAGATATGCAAGTGGCCTTGACACCTCTAAAAATTCTGCCCTCACCATAGCCAGGTGTTCTAGGCCCTCTGATCATCAGGTCTCAACTAACCTTTCCTCCTCTCTCTGACCTGGGGCTTGCTTCTACCATACCTCCACCTCTTTTTCACAAAGTTCCTTTCCTGCAGCCTAGAATGTGGGCAGAGCTGCCTCCCCACTGGCTCTAGCCCTCCTATTCTTAGAACAGTCAGTTCCTCTAGTAAGAGCACCTGGCCAGGATTAGCTATTTCTCTACTTTCTTCTACAAATTACTTACAGATCTTATTCCATCTTTCTTCTTCTTTGTATCATTAAGTATGATCTCTGCTGTTTTGCTCTTAGCATCTGAAAACCAAGGACAACTCTACCTCCCTTCCAATTCTAGTCAAGCCAACACACTTAAGCAGGTGCTCAAAAAACATTGTTCAAACATGAAGCTGCGTTTTAACAAATTGTGTTTTAAAGCAAAGTACACAGTCACTGTTTCTAAGCTTTTAAAACAATTCTACTTGGAAAGTTCTCCCTTAGTTAAGAAATGGCATACTATTTATTTTTGGGAAAATTCATTTTAAAATAATATACAGCTTGAAAACTTTTCTTCAAACACTACTTTGGAAATTTCTGCAATACCTCAAATGGGAATCTATGAGACAGTTCAGTATTTCATAAAAGTTCTTAGTCAAAAAACATTATTCAAACTATGTTAGATAAATGATCACTTAAAGATTTGCTTTCAAGTTAGCGAAAATTGTTCTCACACATTTTTTAGTAACAAATAGAATAATAACAAATTACCTTTTCATAATCAATTGAGGGCTCAATCTTCTTCTGTATGATTTTTGTGAAAATTTCTGGAAAAAAAATCCACAAAATTATTATTAGCAAAATTATTTTTAAGTAAAAATATAAAATGCATATCTAGAAAAAAAGCCTATATATGTTTACAAGTTATTATACCTCTATATAGTAGGCTTATAATTTTATTCCATTCTTAATGAAGGGAAATAACTGAGTTAATGGGTCTTTAGTCAGAAACAAAAAATAGAGGACAAATATTTTTGATTTATTATTTTGCTAATGACAGAATATGAGAGAACTGCCAATTTTAAGAGTTCCTGGTTTCTCACAATGCATATTAATATTTACCAGCAAACTGCATAGAGTTCGTTGATAATCACTGACAAAACATTACATTGAAATTGCTTATTCTTAATGCTATCGAACCACAAATGCAAGTATTTTTCAATAATTCCAAGTTTGCATAATATTTACAAATAAAAGGAATCTTAAAATTAACTTAATCCAAGTTCTTTTTCTTTTCCCTTTTTTAAAGTTTATTTATTTATTTCTTCCATAAACAATAGAAACAGAAAAGGAAAAAGACAGTACTTCCAACAGGATCTTGATGCCATGATTCACCCCTCGGTTTCACCCAGCCCTGACTATGGGTACTCATGTGCCCAGTGTACACAGGGAGGTCTCTGGACATGAACCCAGAACCTTCCCATGTGAGTAAGCCTCACAGAGCATAATGTTTTACTGCTGTGCCACCATCTAGTTCCCTAATCAAAGTGTTCCTAATATGAGGGATCCCTCTGTTTCTGTCTCCAAGCAATGAGTGAAACCAGGGAATGCTAAGCAAAATTGGACTTTTTCTCTACATGTCTACCTGAGGCATTGTCAAGGTCTCATATAGATCTGAGGCCAAAGAAAATGAAGAGCCATCTCTTTCTCTAAACTCACATGTAGGGATCATATGAGACACCTGAGGCCTAGATAGTGAGACCTGCTTAAGAACCACACAATTGAGATAGGAGTTAGACCCACTTATAGGTAGAATAGGGTAAGAGCCCTGAAAGAAAGTCACTGTGTTTTACTTTTTTTAATGAAGTCTCTGTGTTTTTCCTCTATGGTCTGATAAATGTATAATATATACCCCCTTTACATATCTCTAAAGAATTTATGAATCCTTGGTAATAAGGCAGGAGATAGAGATATTGAGCATATGGACAGGATAAGGCCAAGATGGAGTCACAGTGGCTAAGTGTTCATAGTCAAAAGCTGGCTACATTGGAACCCAAAACAATTTTAGCTATGGGCTACAGTTTCTATTTAATAACTGTATTCTAACAAGAAGTACAGAATGCTATGATCTACTGACCCCACAAAGAATAGAGTACTAAATCACTCAGACTACCTTGTAATTATTGTTTAAAGCCCACTTCCTTATCAGAAAGCCAGCCCACTGCTCGGACTGCTAAATAACATTTCACCTGCAACTCTTCTTTGGCAACCCCTGCCACTACTTTGGAAGCTCTTTCTCCTTCCCTAATAAACTCCGATTTACTCCCCTCTCTGTGTCCATGTCTCTAATTCTTCATGTGCGTAGGACAATAAGCAGCACTGGTGTTGGATCTGATCACCTAGCACTCCTGCATTACAGTGACTCATGAGGCAGACCAAGGCCCAGGTCTTCCTTATCCTGTCTAGGGCCCTTTCTACCACTCTGCATATGGCCTTTTATCCAGAGGGAGCTTCTGCAGTGCTAGGCCTGTATCTATTATTACACCTGAAGTACAGTACTGGGAGGGCAAAGAAATCCCGCGGTGAATTATTTAAAAAAAAAAAAAAAAGATGTTCAGGGACCAGCAGGTGGTGCAATGGTTAAGGCACTGGACTCCCTCCCATATGGTCGATAGCAGTTCGAGTCCCAGTCCTAGCAGCTTGAGAATCACACTGGGCATGTGTGTCTGCATGCCCAAAGTCCCAAGAGGAGAATGGAGGAAAAGGGATTGTGGCGTGGCTACCACTCCCACCACCAGGGATGATTTCTCACTTTCTCTCTCTCTGTGTCTCCAGTGAGCTCATGCACCCTATAGCAAAAATCTCTCCTAAAAACAAATCAAACAGAAAAACAATGACATTCAGATTTTCATGCTGGGAGACAAAGCAAGCCACTTCCCAACTGGGATTTCTAGAAATCAGCTTTCCTCCTGTACACAGCAGAGACATGAGCAGATTATTTTTTTCTCTTTTGCTTTTTTTCATCAAGCACATGTGCACAACAGAGACAGAGGAAAATGAGAAATCATCCCCCAGAGGGATAGTCACATTGCAATCCCTTCTCATCCATTCTTCTCTCAGGATTTTGGGCACACACACACGTGCACCTAGCATGATTTTCAAGTTGCTTGGTCTGGGACTTAAACCGTGATCAACCATGTGGGAGTCTAGCACCTTAACCATTATGCTACCTGCTGGCCTCATGAGCAGATGTTTTAAAAATTATGCTGTAAGAACAGGGATTTTCAAACTGGTAGGATTTTCATACAGTAGTGGGAACCCTAGAAGTTTCTTCTTCACAGTACTTCACAGGCTATCCAGAGACAGGAGGAAGCCTCAGGTCTATTTGATAGGTCAGGCTTCTGTTTAAAAATCACTGGTGTTAAGGTTGGGCACTGGATTCCACATGGCCAACTGCACGGTTTGAGTCCAGGCATGGTGGCTTGAAATCACAATTCACACTGGGCACATGTGTGTGTGTGTGTGCTTAATGTCCCAAGAGGAGACAGGAGGAAAAGGGATTGTGGCACGGCCGTCCCTCCTGGGGGATGATTTCTCACATTTCCTCTCTGTATCTTTCTATTCCTCTCTGGTGAGCACACACATTCAGCAGCAAAACTAAAACAAAACAAAGCAAAAACAAAAGTATAACCACTGGATGAAAGGGCCTACTTTTGATTTGAAGAAAAAAAGATGAGACCTGATGATGGTGCAATGGTAACTTTTTCAAAGATAAGACAGACAATTCATCTTGTAAACAGACCGTGTAAGCATACAGTATCCATAAATACAGTACCAGGCAGTAAATGTATTGATTTCTTCCTAATAACATTTTCTCTTCTTTTTACAATAAAGCTTACTTTATTGTAAAAATACAGTATATGAGGAGGCCAGCAGGTGGTGTAATAACGAAGGTGTTGGACTCCCACACGGCTGACCACAGTGCAAGTCCCAGAGGCTTGAAACTCATGCCAGAGGTGTGTGTGTACATATCCAAAATCCTGAGAGGAGAATAAAGGAGAAGGAACTGTGGCGCGGTCCTCCTCCCTGGGGTGGTGGGGGGTGATCTCTCACTTTCTCTGTCTCTGTCTCTATCCAGGGAAGTGAAGAGAGGGAGAGAGAGAGAGAACAAAACATACGTGTTAACTGACTATTGATGTTATTGGTAACACTTTGGTTAACAGTGGGCTATTAGTAGTTACGATTCAATTTAGAGAACAGATTTTTGACTAGATAGGGAGTTAGTGCCCCTAACCCCCATCATTCAAGGGTCAACTGCACATAGTAGATACAGTGTAGAAGACTGTCATTTTGACCAGACAGCATTCATTCATTTACATTTCCTTTCATTAAAACAGGGCCAGCCAGTGGTGTGGTGGTTGAGGTGGTAGCTTGAAAAATATGCTCGGTGCATGTGTGCGTGCCCAAAGTCCTGAGAGGAGAATGAAGAAGGGATTGCAGCTTTACCATCCCCCTTTGAGGAGTGCCTTCTCACTTTCCATCTCTCTCTCTCTTTCTCTCTCTCTCAAGCACATATGCCCTACAGCAAATTAGGAAAAATTAAACAAAACCAAACAAATAAATGAAAGCAAATTAAAAACCTGAATTTGGAGGGAAGAACTGCCCCCTTCATCCTCTCATACTTTGTGGACTATGTGAATGAGAGCCCAGATCCATAAAGATGGAGTCCCACTAGGTCAACAGGTCTCCAGGTATGATCTATGAACCCCCTTGGAGTGCCCAAGACATTTTCAGGGTGTCCATGAGGACAAAATGAAAGATGGTACTTGCCTTTTTGCTACGCTGACATTTGCACTAGAGTGTAAATGTGACAGTGGAGAAGACTGCTGGTGGCTCAGCACAAACCAAGGCAGTAGCCAACGTTCATTATACTCTACACCATGCATTCACGACAGTGTCGGTTACACTTACAATATTCTTGGTAAAACAGTAGTAGTCATTTTAATTAAATCTCAAACTGTTGTGTGTACTGAATAGAGCTCTTCCATGTGCCTGGAATTATGATATGCAAAAAAGTGCGGGCAAACGTGGTGAACTATTAACTAAACTAGCCTCATTTTTCTGGGAACATCATTTTTGTTGTTGTTGTTGAAAGACTATCTACTAGACCTCGGTATCTACTAGACATTTTCTCTAAAATGAAAAAGGTGAAGCTTACAACCTCAAAAAAGCCACTGCTAAGATTTGTTGTCAGTGATAAAATTAAAGCTTAAGAAAAAATTAGAATTTTGCAAAATGAGCCATAAGGCTGACAGCGACCTAATACACTTTTCTAATGAGATCAGTGGGGATCCTAAGGAATTTTTTAATACTTTCTGCAAAATAAAATATGTCAACATGTAGAATATCTGCAAAATTCAGTGAGCCAATATCTTCCAGATGATTTAGGAATGACGTCACGAAATCAGTGCATGAGACAAAGATCCTTCAAAGTGGAAGCCAGGCCAATAGATTTCAATATATGAAGGATGAAAAATTCACTCATGTAGTTTCCAGATTTACATTGCAAATGGCTTTAGAAAACTAGCACTTGAATAGTTTTGGTGTAGTGTCAAAGAGAAATAGCCACAGAAATTAAATATCCACAGAGATCCAAAGAGATTACTACAATGCTTCTCTCTTTTATAACTACCTATCTCTATGAGAGAACATGTTCATTTCATATATCAACTGAACAATATACCTCAACAAATTGAATTTAGACATAGATATGAGAATCCAGCTGACCTGCATAAAGCCAGGTGTCAAAGAGACTTGTAAATCTGTA